TGATTTTTAGGTTTATAATTATACATAAGACTGGTCAAAAACTTTTGTAGTTAGTTAACAGAGATCTCTTGAGATTAGAATCAGAAGGAATGCAAGTGCTTTTATACCTGTAAATATAAAAAGAACATTTTCAAGTTGTCCCCCCTCCTTTTTTTAATCTATATTTATTCTTCCTCTGGGGACATCATCTCAATCCGGGACACCGGTGTGGATTTGTTGGTCGTGGCTGGTGAGGTGGGTTGCTCAGGTGCAGCTGGCTCATCACTCTCAGCCAGGGTGCTATCACTCATTTTCCGAGATGTTGGTGGTTCCACCAGTGTGACCCATGGTCTCACATTCTGGGAGAGCAGCCACAAGGTTTCATCATTATCTGTTAGGACACAGGCAAAACCTCTCCCCCAAGTTATTAAGGCAGTGAGGCCTTTCCACTGACCTGTTTGGACATTTTTCCAAAGGACTTGTGGTTTCTGAGTCTTAGCCATGGCATCTGTATGCCAATGGAGCATAGCAGGCGGTTGTGTGAAGCCTGCTACAGGATTCAAAAAATTAAGTACAAAAACAGCTAGATCTAGATGGGCTTGTGGAGGCAGCTGATTTCCTTGTGATTGTTTAAGCAATTGATGTTTGAGGATGGCATGGGCCCTTTCTACTATTGCTTGTCCTTGTGGATTATACGGGATACCAGTACTATGCTTAACATGCCAAATAAAAAATTCTTGGATAAATTTATTAACATATAATGAACCATTGTCAGTTTTAATATTTTTGGGCACTGCTGTGGCAGCAAAGGCGGACAAGCAGTGTTGTTGAACATGGTCCCCTTTCACACCAGAGTGACACATGACATGTATCATGTGCGAAAATGTATCTATAGAGACATGTACAAATCGAGACTTTCCAAAACAGGGGACATGTGTCACATCCATCTGCCAAATCATATTAGTGGCTAGGCCTCTAGGGTTAGTTCTCTCAGGGGGAATGGGCCGTGGAATCTGCTGGCAACTAGGACAGGCCATAACTATCTGTTGTGCCTGAGCTTGAGATAGCTGAAAATCATGTTGTAGTGCCTTGGAGTTCTGATGGAAATAACTATGTGATTCATTAGCCTGATCAAAAGCAGCAAGGTATCCTATAAGCCGATCTGCTTGTGCATTGCCATAGGAAATTGGTCCAGGGAGATTGGTATGTGATCGAATATGTCCAGTATAAAAGGGAACAGTTCTTTGATGTATACTCTTTTGTAATCTTAAAAACAAGTTCAATAATTTAGTTTCTAAGGTAGAGAGGACCATGGCTCTTTCCAGTCTTTGAGTCAAACAAACTGCATAAAAGGAATCACTCAAAATATTAGGTTGGGAGGAAAGGTTTTTGATCACAAATAAAATGGTTAGCAACTCTGACCTGTGAGCAGAGAGACCAGGTGTAGGCTACACAACTAAAGGAAGAGCTCCAAATTGCTGCTAGGCCCTTAGAGGAGCCATCAGTGAAATAGGTTGAGGCACCTTGCAATGGCTGAAATTGAGTAATCTTGGGGAGAATAAACTCATGTTGAGAAAAAAACTGAAACAGAGAATCACTAGGGTAATGATTATCTATATGTCCAATGAAATCTGCAAAGGCTACTTGCCAATATAAAGCAGTTTGTAGCAGCATCTGCATTTGATCCTTATCACTTGGGATAATGATGAAATGAGGGTCAGCACCAAATAATTGTTGGGTATGATTACGTCCCAAGGAAACTATTTTTGCAATTTGCTCTAGATATAATTGTAGAGATTTCACTAACTGGTTAGTTAAAAACAACCATTCCATGGGAAAGACCTGTTTCTCATACTATTGCCCTATTAAACCTGTAGGTGAGTGGGGAGTGTTAAGCACAAACAAATGAACTGGATAATTAGAGTTTATATGAAAAACCTGACAGTTATGTGTGCTTTGTTCTATTAATTGTAACTCCTTTTGTGCCTCTGGAGTTAATTTTCAAGGGGAATTAAGATCAGAATCTTCCTG